GAATAGTGAACAATCTTGGGATTTTTTCTGTTCAAGTTTCAAATAGTGTGTAAATTGAATACACTTCATCTTCAGCATGTCGAGTGCCACTTTGGTACGTGGCCACGCCCCCGTCCAGGCCACGCCCCCTTCCGCTTTTTTCATCACTAGCCATTGTCATTCCTGTTAACTTCACAAGGGTCGTGGGGCATGCTGCAGCCAGTCCCAGCTGTCTCTACGGGCAGTAGGCGGGGGACACCCTGAACCGGTTGCCAGCCAATCGCAGGGCACATAGAGACGAACAACCGTCTGCGCTCACACTCACACCAAGGAACAATTTGGAGTGTTCAACCAGCCTGCCATGCATGTTTTTGAAATATGGGAGTCCCTGGAGAAAACCCATGCAGGCACGGGGAGAACATGCAAACTCCACACAGGAAGGCCGGAGCCAGGATCGAACCCCCGACCTCTGCACTGCGAGGTCGACGCACTAGCCATGGCACCATCGAGCCACCCGTAATTAATAAATAAATAAATAAATACAGAAATAAATAAAAGAAAGGAAAACTGTGTAAAAATAAATAAATCGCAAGAACTTTCAAGTGAGTGAAAGTATTCCAAAATGGCAACTGAAATCATTTCAGGCATGTAAGGGCATTTATCTAAACCTGTTTGAGGTGAGTGAAAACAGCCATATGAAATCTTGTAACCAATCTTCTGCCGTGTAACAATGACTTGATCCATCTATCCATTCATTGCAACTTTGTTTTTTTTTTTTTTTTTTGGTCTCAAGAGCTCTGCTTCCTGGGTCCTGGAATTTTTGTTTGCTACACGGCATATAATATACAGGAATCAGCTGTAACTGCTTTTGATTTTCTGGTTCGAGTACAGTGCTTGATTTGCATCATGTTGTTTGCATCTGAACATGCCCAATCTGGCCTTAAGTATAACAAAGAGCTAGTTCATTGGCAATGTTTTCAGTCCATCATGACAGGCTTGTCAAATGATAACATAGGCACAAAGATGAGGATGTATTTATAGGAAGAACATAGTAGTAGCAATGAGTTGCTTTGACAAAAAAGAAAAATGCAGATTGCACAGTACGATGAAAATGAGAGGGCCCAAAAGGCAAAAGAAAAAAAAGCACTCATAGAGCAAGTATCAGTCCAAGAGAGAGATGGTGATGACAGTGATCAAATAATGTGTTGGATAAACCTTGTAAGCCAATAAAAGATAACTACAACACCTTAATCAGGGAGCTCACAGGCCAAGTTGTATTCCTTGTGCAAGCTGTCCAGCATGGTGGGAAAGTAGCCGATGAACACCAAATCAAAGTGCCACTTGACAATTTTAGGAGACCAACGAGGCAATGTGTAGTGTGTGGGCAAGACAAAAGGACTGCAATCACTGTTTTAAGCGCAGTAATGGGCAAGAGGTAGAGGGCAGACAAAAACATGGGGAAATGGGTCACGGTTGTCACAGAGCGGCATGCTATGACCTCAGAATTTAAGTCCAAAGAAGAGTCAAACTGGAACCCCCTAATGGAACCTGTAAGCACATGTGAAGTGAAAAATAAACTGTCTACTCATAACACTTAGACACCTTCAAACTCAAACGGTAAATAAATCTCAAGACAAAGACTACTTGGCTCCTGCAACCGTTGGACAAGATGTAAATGAGTTTTTCAATTCATCAGCAGAAAATGTCTTGTTTAGTGCAAATGTAACCGTGTGAAGACTTGAGTCTTCACACGGGTACAGTTGTGGGACATTGGAGCCGTGTGTCCAAATAGCAGTAATTATCTAAACAAAGTTGTACATTAGGGTGGTCCATTTTGGAAAAGTTTGTCGGATTCGTCGGGCCGGGTCGGAAATCTTGTCGATACTATGACACAAGGATGTGTGCAAAATTTTATTCCGATCGGATAATTTTATCCCGTCCCGCAGAGCGACCAAAGTTTCCCCTATGGAAAGAATCTTACGGGGCTGAATGGTAGTACGGTTTCTCCCGTACAGTAAGGATTTTGTTTTGCTCAGTTCGCACTTGCAATAATTCAAAGACGGAAGACAGGAACGCATGTATTGCAAAAAAGGCAACCGTGGTGATCCTGCAACACTGGTGAGATTGTTGGTCCATGTTAACTGGTCCATCTGTCTATCTGTACATCTGTCTACATCGCGCGACTGTCTGGAAGTGATCCGATCCGTTTTGCATTTTTTTCAGGCCGGGAGTGGTGC